GCACGTGCCTGTTACACGTGCGAATGATGTTTGGGTTTTAGGTTTTATTTTTTCCCCTTAGCTCAGCTAAGAGTTTTCTCTCAGCAACTGAACATTTTGAGCTTGAAGCTCCTTAAAAATGGCGTTTTAATATTTTGAGTTTTGTTGTCAATTTTCGTGATAAATTCGCAATATTCCGTTTCTACAAGATTGAGTAACAAAATGACAACTAAAATGTGAATTGAATTCCTCTTATTTATTATTAAATTTTTTTAAACTTTGTTATTTTTATTTTTAATTTTAGTAGTTTAGTAGTTATATATATATATATATATATATATATATATATATATATATATATAGATTGGTTCCAATGCATCCACATTTTTAAAGTAAGGATGTGAGACTCATTTTTAGCCACAAAATTTGGTACATTATGTGTGACCAAGATTTACTATTTTCTTTTTATTATTTTAATTATTTAAATATTATTTTGACCCGTTGACTCCGGCATTGACCGTTGACTTCCGGCGTTCTCTTCCGGCGAAATTCATTGACTTCCGACGTTGACTTCAACGTTGACCGTTGACAACTAACTTTCCAACTAGGTTAATTCTCTGTAGTTGCTAGGTTAGTTCTATGTAGTTGCTAGGTTAGTTGTCTGTAGTTGATAAGTTAGTTGTCTGTAGTTGCTAAGAGTTGTCCGCATTTTAAGAGCTTGTCTCATTTTAAGAGCTGACCTCATCTAATCCGCCATATATATATATATATATATACTTGTTACCGTCTTAGATTATTTCAATTAATATGAAATTGTTGTAATTTTCTATTCATCTTGAAATCGATTCTTACCTGACGCTTATGCTAGTTGATGTAAGTTTGCAAATAAAAAATATAAGTTTTAATTTATCGTGTCACGACGTGTGGCCAATAGACCTCTTTGACAGATAACGACAAGATGATAGTTGATTGAATTAACTAACAACCGACGACACGGTTATGTAAATTGTTTGATAGAACTGGTTGTTCCATATGTTAAACCAACTAGTTTTACAATAATTTATTTCAAAATGCTCTTATACCAAGATTTTTCAAAATTATTATATTTTAACTATAAAAAATTTATTTCTAATCGATAGTTATCAAATAATTAAATTAGTGTGTATGAACCATCAAATCTCCAACTTCACTCCAAAATCTAATGGAGCGGGTTAAAAGATGAAGGGCCCATTTTTCTTAACAGAACGCAATTTTTTGGAATACCCATATTTTATAAAGGGCCCATAATAACTATTGGGCCTTCGTTGAAATACCACTCAAAATCATCCAAACCTATGTCGCATTACGTAAACACGACTTCGGAGCATCCCCATTATCTCTCCATTTTTTCTTCTAGTTACACGTGAAACAGCAACATATAATTGGTCGTGACTAAAGACAGGTTTCTTCAGCAAAAGACCGACGTGCGATAAAGACTGTCCCTGACTCTTGTTTATGGTCATGGCATACGAAACCATAAGTGGGAACTGACGCCGCTGGAACTTAAATGGAATCCTAGTATCGGATGGAACGATATTCATCCTAGGAATCAAGACCTTCTCGCCAGCGTGATCTCCTGTCAATATCTTGCATTCGAGAACATGAGTAGAGAGTTTAGTCACAACCAATCGAGTACCATTGCACAGCCCCATAGAATGGTCCATATTGCGTAACAACATTACTGGCGTTCCTATCTTCAGGTGCAACTCATGGTTGAGACAACCAGAACACTTGATGCTATTCAAGAATTCTGGCGTGTGGAGATCTGCCAAGAAATCATTTCCGGAATTTTTCAAAATTATTATATTTCAACTATAAAAAATTTATTTCTAATCGATAGTTATCAAATAACTAGTATCTTCACCCGTGCGATGCACGGAACATATTTATTAAAATATTTTAATATATACATTAAAATATATATATATATATATCATAAAAAGTAAATGACAAATAAATAACATTATTATTGAATAGAGTAAAAGTACAATATTATATGATATTACAAATTATGAGAAACTTCTTGATAGACAACATTTTTAGTAGTTTTCTTTTCCACATTATCGTCCGCCCACATATTAATATCTTAAATCCTGTGGATTAGTGACTCGAGACACATCAACGTATAATTGACCAGGACTAATAAACACCAGTCTTTTTATGTAAAGTCCGACATGGAATAACGACTGCTCTTAACTCTTGTTGATTGTCATTGCGTAAGAAAACATAAGAGTAAATTGTCTACGTTGGAACTTGAAGGGTATCATGAGATCAGATGGAGGTAGGAAAAGTCTTGACACCAATACCTTATGTCCACCATTTGATCCTGTTAGAATCTTACATTCAAACACGTGAGTGAAACGTTTCGTTATCACCAAGCGTGTTCCATTACACAGTCCAATTGAATGATCAATGTTTCTCAACAACATGACAGGAGTCCCAACCTTTAAGTGCAATTCATGATTTGGAACACCAGAACAATTTATACTATTTAAGAACTCCAGAGTGTGAAGGTCATGCAAGAAATCAACACCACCATCGGATTTGAATATGAGAGAACAATATAACGACACAGATTTTGAATATGAGATTTATAGCGTGAATTACTCTTATTTTGTACTCAAGTATCTTGGTAACTTTGGGTGTATTTTGTTAAGCATTCACCAACAATAATGCTTAATTTTTATTGACATTAATATGATTCAAGTATTTTGTTAAGCATTCACCGGAAAAATTTAAAAAATGATACATTAAGTTGGTGTTGTCAATAAAACAAATATTTTGTTGTCCCTCGCGGAAAGGAAATATTTAGTTGACAATTTGGTCGGAAAGATACATTAATCACTCAACCTGGATAAATAACTGACGTGGCCGGATTAGATAATGACGTGACATTATAAATTTC